CAATCTGGAAACAAATTTGTTCAATTAATTTTATTAGGTGAAATATCATTTTTTATTTCCAAAAAAAATAAAATAAACAAAATACGTTATAAGTATGTTTTTTGCAATTTCAAATTATTAAATGGTTGGGTACTTGATAATTTATTAAAATTTAATGCGGATAAAGAAATATCAAATTTTAAATATTTACATTTGGTTTAAAGTATAATTTATATGTTAATTTTGAGCTTGCATAAGGGGAAAATAATATCACTTAATGAAAAAAATAATAATAATAATGAAATTATAAATGTACAAGTTTCATCGAAATGGACGCTGTATGTTTTATTGAATTAATAACTTTCTTTCTGTGTGAAATGATTTCTAATAGTTTTCCAATGAAATTTTAGTTAAATAAATTGATAGGGAGTGAATTGAGAACAAAATTTTACACAAAATGTTTATAAGTTGTAGATAAAATAAAAATTATATCATCCAGAGAAATAAGAATATCTTCACGAAAATATTTCACTTCGTATACAATGTATTAAAATAAATTAGTAAATTTTCATATTCAAAATATTATTTTTTAGTACTCATCTATCACAATTTTGATTTTAAAATATATTTTTAATATTAAATAAAAAGAATAAAATCGTGATTAACGAAAATTAATATCTCTAAAATTATCCTAACGAAAATAAAATTGAAACATTCTCATTTTTAAATAGAAAAAAATTAGTTTAATTTATCATTAGGATCAATGAGATTATAATTTAATAAAAAAATTAAAATATTATATATATATATATATTAATTAGTGATAATAATAATTAAAATAAATATTAGATGCAGCAAGAATGATAATAGTAATTATAGATATGACAAGATGATAAAATATTAATAATATTTGATTACTATAACGTTAAAATAATAATATAACTACTACAAATCAACAAAGGTAGTAAAAATATAATAATTATAACATAGACAAAATGAAATAGGGAAATTAACTATCCCATTTTATTATTATAATAATAATATCTTTTATCTTAAACATTTTTTTCCTCGAATAAAGAAATACACCAATAAAAAAAATGGGATTTTAATAGAAAAAATAACAAAAAAAAAGTAAATAGTGAATTATAAAAAGTATGATTTTATTTATGTATTTTGAACCTTATATTTAATAAATTAAGAACAAAGGTTATAAAACTTATATTTTACTTCTTTTCAGAGCCTCTAAATTTCATAATTTGTTACCATTTAATTATTTTAGGATGCATTGATGTTAGATTAAAATGAGTAGCAAACTATGATTTCTAAAACATTTAAAAACTTGTTTTTTATTTTAATATTAGTTTTTTTAAGAATTATACTAAAATCCAAAGAACATAAAACTCCATCTCATTTTATGATTTTGGTCATGTATGACATGAGATGTCATAAGTAATCAAACGTTGTGGTAACAAAACACTGATTAACACTGTATAATGTAATTTCAAATAATAACAAATAATAAAATCGAGTATTATTCATAATTAAAAGCGCTAATAATTCATGCTATTTAAATTAAAAGGAAAAAAAATCCTAACAAGTAATAGGTGTTCAATAATTATTTATAATTTAAAGAATGACACAAGTTCAAATTTTAAATTATATTAAATTATTTCTATACTCATTACAAGAGATTATTTTTATATTATTTAGATAGTCATATTTGAATAAATTTATTTATAACGTGGAATAAACTTATTTATCATGTAGTTACACGACGATATTCTCGTTATAGATAATCTTTATAATAATTGTTATTATTTAGTTTATGTGAGTTAACTACAAATTAAAATATAAAAATTTGTCTATCTGTTTCCATGATTGAACTGTGTTTTTATTTTATATACAATTGTGTGTTTTTATTCTTTTCGAAACATTTTTTTACATTTAATACAATTAAATCAAATTAATTTGAATAATCAGATTGATTTAATTGAAATTTAATAATATTTAAAATAATTTAAAGTAATAATAAAATTTAGTTGATTTAGACTTTTTTTATAAATATGATTTAAACTAAATAAATCCCTTAATACCCCTATTTTTTATTATACAATACAAACACTGTATAATTTTTTTCGTCTCACAATAATGATTTGTAAATACCAATTAGTCGATTCCTACACTTTTGGAAGCACTCAAAACATAAAAAAAAAACCATAAATAAATAAGAAAATTAATATACAAGCACACTTGTTTATCAATTATATCTAAAATTTCACCTTAATATATATATATATATATATATATATATATATATATATATATATATAATTAAAGAACTTGACATACAATATTTATGATATATCTAAATTTGTTACTTAAATGAATACACTTTATCTAAAAAGGAAAGAAAAAAATATATAAAAAGTAACATTTCTAGTATAATATTCTGAGTTAAAGGTAGTTCAAGAGAAATTGAGTAGTTTCTTTATTTTTTAAAATCATAATATTAGATGTAACTTCTAATAGAATTTGGTTCTATTTTTTACATATTGTAGGATATTGAATTTTTGGAACAAAATAATATATATATTTTTTATCTTCCTGCATTATTTTGATAAAATAACACACTAACATGCTACTTTTAACATATTTTTATTGTATTTTTGTTTAATGAATAAGGTAATTTTACTTTTAAAGTTTATCGAAATCAATATGTTAATTCACCTTTAGATAATTGTTATTTTTTTTGTTTCAATATATTTTAAAAAATAATCAACCTACCTTATATTTTGGTAGCTTGTGTTAATAAGATATTCTATTATTTATAAGAAATCAAAATAAAATAAATTAAAAGTATTTTTCTTTTAAATTATTTAATTATAAAAATATTTTATTAACATAAGATAATTTAAAAGTATTGAATATAATTTTATATTAATTACTAATTAATATAAAATTAAAAATTAAAAATATTATTATCTCATAATACTAAATAAATCGATAAAAAAAATTGCATAAGCATCATAAATAAAGAATTATTGCAAAATTTCATATAAAAAAATGGTAATTGCGTAATAATCAATAAACAATTTGAAATAATATTTTTAATATAAAAATAGTTATATTGACATTAGTTATAAAAATTTGTAACATAATTTTTTATGAATTTAATTAATTGAATAAGACTTGGCGATATCAAAATATTATAGACTATCTTGGATACCTAAAATTATTATTGATATCCGTCACTAATTATAATTAGATAAGCTATCTTGTTAATTAAAAAATTTAAGACTCTTATTTTAAACATCATATTAACACAAACTTAAACGATATTATACTCCTCTAAGTCTTTTTTTTTTTTAGTCTCTTACTTCGTTCCTCAATAGATGTTAAACGTTGTAAAAAACTTAAAAACATTGTTTTAAGTCCAAAGATATAGTCGCAATCACAACTTCATGAATTACAACCACAAACTTCATGAAAAACTATAAATAAATATGTCCGAAAGATTAATGCTTTCCAGGTTAACACTACACAAATTTGTTATACTTGTAAAGTAATTTTCTTGTGAAAAAAAAAATGTTTTCATATCTTAAATATTGTATTTGGCATGCCAAAAAATACCATTTAGACGGATCAATAAACATTTCACAATAAAAAATAATAATTGTCTACATAAAAAAATTATTGACAGAGACCAAATTGAACCTAGAAAAATATTCATTAAGTAAAAAAAAAAATGAAAACTAGACTATATTTTAATCTTGATTGAAATTGAAATAATATTTAAAATTTAACCAAATAAATAATATATAAAAAAACATCGTTTAAAAAGAAAGTAAAATAATTTCTAATTCTTATTTTTAAATAAAACTTTTAATTGCTTAATTTTAAATGATCAATTACACTAATAATTTTTATAATTTTAACTTTTTAAAATTTTATCTACACAATATATTTTATTATAAAACATTTTAACATTTTTGTAAATAGATTACTCTTCACAATTATCTCTTCCCATTACAAAGTTAAAACTAATTACAATAAGTTATGTAATCCTATTTTATCATTATTCCTAGTCATTGCATTTCATAATTTTAACCAAATTTTTAGAAGAGTTTATAGAATCACACTTTTTTACGTTGTATATTATCTTTTCTATACATTTTTATTCTATTCATATTTTTTTATAGTCACTAACTCCACTACATAATATTTTATTTAAAACTTTTTTTCCCCTGATATAAACTCACCAATAATGCAGTCTGGTTCTGGTGTACCAAAATCTCCCTAAAACCAATCATGGCCATTACAAAAATCATTTAACTTTATGCAATTGGTTCCTTTCAGGGTGCCTTAACTAAACAACATTTAAAGCCAAGCAGCAGCAGTTCCACAAATACTTCTACTAATTTGTATTTGCGTTAACCCATTCTGTAATTTAATTAAAATAGTAATTCATTTTTTTCCGTAGAAATAATCAACTCTTAAATTTAAAATAATAAAAAAACACAAAGGATGATTTAGGCCTGTTTTAAAGGACAATCAAATGAAAAAAAAACTTAGAAAACATAATTATATAAAATTAAGTCGAATAATTTTTAGATAAAGTCTAAAAGGTGGAGATTGTTAAGGCATACAAAAAAAAGATAATTTAAAATATGTTATTTTGATTGTGTTTATTATTATTATTGTCGGATTATTTATTTATTTATTTTTTCTAAACGAACGGAAATGTAAATAAGGATGGTTAAAATTTCAACTACCTCGCCCACAACCACATAAGCAAGTTTTCATTTCATTTCAACTTCATCCTTCGTCTTCTTCTCCGTCAATCTAGCCACACTCTCCCTCTCTGTCTCTCTGTTTCTCTCTCTGAGAAATTCTCCGGTCTCGCCGAGTAATCTCATCGGATTCTCCATCTTCATCGGTGTCGAAGTCTCACTAACTCACTCACTCACTGAGTGACTCACTGACTCGCTCGCTCTTCAGATCTGATTGCTGCGCGGATCGAAATGGAGGAGGCGCTGGAACTGTCACGGGCGAAGGACACGAAGGAAAGGATGGCGGGCGTGGAGCGCCTCCACCAGCTTCTCGAAGCTTCCAGAAAGAGCCTCTCGTCTTCCGAGGTGACCTCGCTCGTCGACACTTGTATGGATCTCTTGAAGGACAACAACTTCCGCGTCTCGCAGGGCGCGCTCCAGGCGCTCGCCTCCGCCGCCGTCCTATCCGGTGACCACTTCAAGCTCCATTTTAACGCACTCCTCCCCGCCGTCGTCGACCGTCTCGGCGACGCCAAGCAGCCCGTCCGCGACGCCGCCAGGCGCCTCTTGCTCACTCTCATGGAGGTACTGTACCTGATTACTCGATACTGACAAGACAATAATCGAGTGTGGTGGTAATAACTGCTAACTGTAGGGTGCTGTTTAGGAATTATTAGGATAATAATGAACGACTTTGATGTAGCAAAGCGGAAACTGTGCAGCAACGAAATCGGAATTGTCGCTGTTTCGCATTTGCATGACCTGTGTCATGGTTCTGGAGAATGAAAATCGGAGTTACATAGCAAGATCTTTGGTCGTAGTTAACGGCTTAGCTGTAGGATCTTTTGCTGGTGTGATTGGATCGTCATGTATGTTATTAGGATATATGAACTCATGACCCTAAAGCCCTTTGGATGCCTTGTTTTAAATTGTGATGTCTTCAAGTCTAATGCATTTATCTTTCCCCGTTTTTTTTTTTTTTTTTTTAATTAACCTAGACTCGTAGGAGCATTAAGAAACATGTGGCAGAGTATCTACTAATAGTCTCTACAGAAGAGGCTCTGGGAATTTCATTTCTGATAGTCTTAATGTCCTTGAAAATTGTTTTTCTGGTTCTCATTCATTTGTGAGTCAAACCAGATTTAAGTCAGCTAGCAGTTAAATGTAACTTTTTAAGTGAATGCTTCAAAGATAACTGACTTATGCAATCTGTTAGGTTGACAATTATGCAGCCATAGGCTTTCTAGGTGGATTGTCCTTTCTAAATGGCCTGTGGATGGATGTAGATCTATGAACAGTTTAAGCTGGAAACTAATTGAGCAGTCAGCCAAGTAGATTAGTGCTATGTGATTTAGATTGTGTTCGGTTTATTGCATAATGTAAATGTTGGCACTAGCCTGTGATTTATCACTAAATATATGACCGGAGTTTCACATGGCTAATCTGTGATCGGATTTATTTATCTATATGACCTTATTATATCTGGTGTGTTTCTCTTACATTTACATTCTGTATCTTTACCCAAGGCTATATTTGGACTAGTAGAAAAGGGTGGATAAAATTGCATGATGCTAGATTTGAGATTTTGAATTGTTTGATAATGAAATGGAACATGATGCAATGCATTTCATTCCATTCTAATCAATACTCCTCTTTTCTTTCCCTCCAATCTGCGCATTATAGTATGGGACACAACTAGTTTTTTTTTTCCATCATAAAATTTATCTAAACAATAGAAAATGGTAACTGCATTCCAGTCCAGATCATTCCATCTGTACATTGTCTAAGCTTAAGTGGATGTTTCCATATGTATTTTGATGTTTATGTTATGTCCTGTCTAAAAGTGAAGTAAATATGTCATGATTATAATTTTCGGAATGACATTTTTCAAGTATCCTACATTTTGAATTTATTTTGGATTATTATTTGCAGGTTTCTTCTCCTACAATAATTGTTGAAAGAGCAGGGTCCTTTGCTTGGGCACATAAAAGCTGGAGAGTCAGAGAGGAGTTTACACGAACTGTCACAGCTGCAATTAATCTATTTGCATCTACTGAGCTCCCACTTCAGCGGGCTATCCTTCCCCCTGTATAAACTTTTACAAATAAGCAGTACATATTGGTTGTACATTTAAAAATTCTTGGGATACATTACTAATTCCTTCCAAAACTTGCATGATTGTCAGGTTTTGCATTTGCTTAATGATCCAAATCCTGCTGTTAGGGAAGCAGCTATTTTGTGCATTGAAGTAAGTATGCTTTATCTTATAATCATTTTGTATTGTATAGTTGTATATTGGCTAAAGGACTCGAATTACATTATCATGTTAGTTACATAGCTAATTTCAATTCTTAAATTTCGGAGCCAAACATAAAGAATTGCCAATATTGTATGTTATGTTTTGCTTAAAAGAATGAACGGATGACATAAATATTGATGAATATGAAAATGGAAGTGAGTATATTGTCTAGTGGAGGACATGATTTGATATTATATTTAAAAGCCTGAGGGTTGTGAACTTCATGGCTCTAAATTTGAGAATTTATCTGAAGGTCACCTATTTCTTTGAAAGTTTAAAGTTCTATATTAATGGAAAATTTTCATTTATTGCATATTCATGAATAACTGGATTATGCTGTCCCCACATAGTGGGAAAAGGCTTTGTTGTTGTTGTTGGTACAGATACTTGGATTACGTTAATCTTAATGCTGTGTTGGACAGTTTAGTAATTGATGTCATATGCTATTAACAAAGGTTGATTTATTGATGTGTTAGTCACACCCCAGGATAGTGATTGTAGATTTATGATGAGTGTTATTGTTAGTACATTTCTTTGACATTATCTTTTTTGCAGGAAATGTATACACAAGCTGGGCCTCAATTTCGTGATGAACTTCACCGCCACAATCTTCCTTCATCTTTGGTAAATATAAAAAGGAATCACTTTCCTAATTCATTGTTATTTAACACACATAAACGCACACACATATGAATTTGGACTTTCACCATTTTACATTTAATGTCATGTAGTGTGAGAGCTTATAATGCCTTGTTTATTGCATCACGATGATTTCAGGTGAAAGATATTAATGCCAGGCTTGAAGGCATTCAGCCAAAAGTTCGCACTTCAGATGGTATTCCGGGTGGATATATTACTGGGGAAATTAAGCATTTGACTGTTAATCCCAAGAAAAGTAGTCCAAAGGCTAAAAGTTCCTCAAGGGAGAGCTCTCTTTTTGGAGGTTAGTATATTTGTAATTCTTCAATCATAAATGTTTCTATTTTAGTTTAGCACTGATGCAAACATGGTATTTTGCTTTATATCTTATCTGTATAATTTCATTCTCATACTGGCACTATAATTGTCTATCTGCCTTATAATTTGTCGGTACCTAAAATTTTCTTATTTGAGATGAGCTGAGTTGTGGCAATACTGAAACGTTCTTTGAATTGTTAAATAGTGTGGCGTTATGGACAATATGGAGAATGTATGGACATGCTTATTTTCAACGCCACATTTTTTTGTTTGAGATTATATTTGTTTAAGCTCCTTATTATTACATTTAAACCAAGCTTTTATATCACAATGTTAGAATTTTTAGATTTTAATAAGAAATGTTATTTCAGTTAGCTCTGATTGTGGTGATATTTTTTTTTTCTATATCAATCTTATATTCATTTTTTTTGGACATTGTAGCTTATTTGTATCCTTGGGTAATTCCATTAATTAAACCTACTTGTCTTTGGGATTCTAACTTTAATTACATGTTAGTCCTTGGATCTAAATGCTTTTTGGCAGATATTTTCTTCTGCATTTCTTCAATGATAAAAATTTATGAGATGCTTGTACCAATTGTTGAAAAATCGATTGATTTTGATGGGGGAGGCAAAATGATTGAAGGAAGACAAAATAATATGATTCAATGAGATTTAGCTTTGCATGTTGTTTTAAAATTGTAAATTTAATTAAAAAATCATGTATACCGTGTTGTTAACACATTGTGTGAAGTTGGTCGAGAATATTGACTATTTAAATATACATTTTATTTGTTAAATCTTGAGCAGGAGAAGGTGACATCACTGAGAAACCCATAGATCCTGTGAAGGTATATTCAGATAAGGAGTTAATCAGGGAAATTGAGAAGATTGTATCTACCCTTGTGCCTGAAAAAGACTGGTCAATTCGAATTGCTGCTATGCAGAGAGTTGAAGGTCTTGTTTTAGGAGGTTGGTGGTTCCAAATTCCTTTGAGAAACTTGTTCAGAAATATATGTGCTTGTAGTTCAACATTAAGAGCTTATTACTATTTCAAGTCTAAAATGGGAAATAACATTTGACAATGTAGAATATCTTGAAGGAAGTTTGTGGCCATCTTTGATGCATATGGTATTGAATTTTTTTTTTTTTTTTTTGTTGATGTTGATTCAGCATACAAGTCATAGTTAACTGAGCTATGACATTAAAGGATCACAACAATGACTATGTTTTTATCAAATAGTAGAAAGGAAAATTAATGCTGGCAAGGATTATTAGCTGCAGCTGTTGAGAGATGCCAGTCAATCATGTACAGTTTTTAGGATCCTAGTTCCACAAAATTGTGGGCAGGGGATGACTCTAGGTTTGTTTGGATGAGCTTCTTCATAAACTTTTATAGGAGAAGAAAAAAAATGAAATAAGTTTTTCCATAAACTAAAACTAGTTTTTGTACTAGTTACTTTGTAAAAGCTCTCTTATCTAGCTTTTCCAAAATTAGATTTTTAAATTATGCATAAACTAATTTAATTTCGTAGAAATTTATTTCACCTTTTTCTTCCTCGAGAAGTGCTTAATTTAAACATTAATGCACTTTTCAAACTAAATTATTAGGACCGAAGTTTTTACTGGTCTATTATTTAACTGGAGAGTAAACTACCCCAACCTTTTCTTCTACTACATACTTCTTACACTGAATTACTTTTATTTCTAAAACCTACACAAAACCCCTCCTATTTTATAAATTTATAAATATGTTTCAACTAAACACATTTTCTTTTATATATATATATATATATATATATATATATATATATATATATATATATATATATATATATATAGAGAGAGAGAGAGAGAGAGAGAGAGAGAGAGAGAGAGGATCCACTCACTGCAAGAGTAAGAGTTAAATACTTACAATTCATTCTCACCTTTTATTTATTTGGTAATCTAATGGTTAAGATGAGTTACTATTTTAAACCATTAGATTACCAATAATAAATAATGAGGATGAATCTAGTTCTTACTCTTGGAGTGAATGGATCCCTTCTTATATGTTTATATATTTTGATTCTTTTCCATTTCTTAAAGCATTACACAAACGTATGCTATTTTATAATTACATTATCAATATATCTTCATATGATACTAAGAATTTGAAATTATTAATTGCTTATATGATAAAATTTGATGATAATATTTTAATTGAGCAAGAGAAAAAATGATAAAGAAATTATAATTTCAAATATTAGACAACAATAGTTTTTTAAACATGTCAGGGTAATAATTGTAGCAAAAACTTGATTGCATGAATCATTAATTACTAATGGGATAGAGTAAAACTATTTTCAAATCATTTTATGAAAATAATAATGAATGTATAAACATAATTTATTGTTTTATTTATGAATAATCCGTATGACTATAATTTTTATGATAACAATTTAAAAATAGTTCTTGTTATTATGGTAGAGAAATTTAGTTTTAATATATTTATTAAACTAAAAGAGAATTTTTGTGATGAGCAAAAATCTTTAGTATGAATATTTTTTAATTTTACACAAAAATAAAGGCTTTAGATTTATGTATTGTGTATTTATACAATGAGAAGAGTTTTTGTAGATTGTAGAGATAAAAAGGGATTTTATATAAAAGTTGCAATAAAGAATGGAGATTGGAGTAGTTTACCCCCTTATTTGAATTTTCTGCATTGTTTTTCTCACTGAAATATGTTTTTTGCCTATTGTTTAAGGAACTTAAGTTTAAAACAGAGAGAAAACTATATTTTGGAGGGCATAAAAACCCCTTCTTATAATCTTGTATTTATAATAATATAAAGCTGATACAATGGGAAGATGAAACATCAAGAGACTGCCTTAGGCACAGAACTAGGTACAGCTTATAGATGTTCCCAACACACTATAATTACTCTAACATATATAAACTCAATAATTATTTTAACAAAGGATAACTTGTTTTACGTATGGTTAATTGTAATTTTCACTTAGCTATTAAATTAATTGTAATACAATTTCTTTTTCTGTGGCATGACTGTTGAATATATTCTGAATACTTTCTTCATTAGGTGCTGTGGATTATCCATGTTTTCGTGGGCTCTTGAAGCAACTTGTTGGACCTTTAAGCACACAATTGTCAGACCGAAGATCAAGCATTGTGAAGCAGGTGCTCGAACATTTTTATTGTTGTATATTCTTTCATTAATTTGTAAAACAAAATATTGTCTCAAGGGACTGTTTTTGGAACTTAGGAGATTGGTGTATCTTCTCTCATGAAGCAATCCTTTATTTGATGAAATCCTTCCCTTAGTATGTTTGTTGGTTTTGCCTTATAATTTTACATTCACTAACTTGTCTATAAGTTAGGTTCTTATAGTGAACTGTTTTTTTTTTTTTTTTCTTCTAGGCTTGCCATCTATTGTGCTTTTTGTCAAAGGATCTCTTGGGTGATTTTGAAGCATGCGCTGAAATGTTTATACCAGTAAGTTAAACTAGTTATCTTGTATTTATCACATTTTTTATGCTTTTGAAATGATTAATTTTTTATCTGATAATTAGGTCCTTTTCAAGCTGGTTGTGATCACTGTGCTTGTAATTGCAGAGTCTGCAGATAACTGCATAAAAACGGTAATATAATATGCTTATTTAATTCTCTGCATCTTCTTTCTACGTGTCATTTTCACCTTTGTCCTCTACTTTGCAGATGTTGCGTAACTGCAAAGTTGCTCGTGTGCTTCCTCGTATAGCTGATTGTGCAAAAAATGACCGCAATGCAGTACTACGTGCAAGGTATATATTATCAATTACTGAAGAGACACGTTTGAGGGTTTTGATTTTTTATTAATACCGTATGACATTTGTACTGTAGATGTTGTGAATATGCTCTTTTGGTCCTGGAACATTGGCCTGATGCACCAGAAATACATCGATCAGCTGATTTATATGAGGATATGATAAAGTGTTGTGTTTCAGATGCAATGAGTGAGGTAGCTTTATAGTTTTAGGTTATTTGATTTGTGGTAAATATATTGTGCATCAGTTTTGTAAATTTTAACTATCTTTTCCATTAGGCTTCCCTTGTTTCTGTGCCATAAGTGTGTTGGTGTTGTTGGAAGTGTAAATGTTTTTCTTGTTGTTTGCTTATATTTTAGTGAAATTCCAGTTCTGAATGTACAACATGACAAATCAGTAATGATAATTAAATTGTCAAAATCCACAATCCTTTTTATTTATTGGTTGGCTTTATGTCTCAATGTGTTTTTTGTATGGTAAGGCATTATGAAGATTCTGAAACTGTGATAGAATTTATTCTTAATATGTTCAAGTACTTTCTTTTTCTGGAAAACCTTTTTATTTATCAATTTTCATTGATTTAGGACGGAAACTTATTCGCATATTCATTGGTTTTTCAAAGTATATGCATTTGAAAATGTTACAAATGAAAATTGATAGGTACGATCTACTGCAAGGATGTGCTACAGAATGTTTGCAAAAACTTGGCCAGAGCGATCTCGTCGCCTATTTGCATCCTTTGACCCTGCTATTCAACGGGTATATACTTACAATCTTGTGGATGCTATTCTTTATTTTTGTTGCTAAAGTCATCTCTTAAAGTGAATGTAAATTGCAGTTAATAAATGAAGAGGATGGAGGAATTCATCGGCGACATGCTTCACCTTCCATTCGAGATAGAGGTGTGCTAGGGTCATTATCTAGTCAAACCTCGGCTCCCTCTAATCTCCCTGGTTATGGAACTTCTGCAATTGTTGCGATGGATAGAAGTTCAAGTATATCATCAGGGACATCTATCTCCTCTGGCATACTTCTTTCACAAGCTAAGTCACTTGGTAAGGGTACAGAACGAAGTTTGGAAAGCATGTTACATGCAAGCAAACAGAAGGTTTCTGCTATTGAAAGCATGCTCAGAGGCTTGGATTTGTCTGATAAGCATAATTCATCTTTCCGGTCATCAAGTTTGGATCTAGGTACCACATAACTTTTCCTGTCAAATATTTTTAATCACTTCAATTTACAGGGCGTGATGTCATTCAATGCTTGATGTTATTTTAAACTATTTGAGCGGCAAATTTTTCTCTTGTTGCCCCTAGTGCAGGAGTTGACCCTCCATCATCTCGTGATCCACCTTTCCCTGCGGCTGTCTCTGCATCTAATCATCTGACAAGCTCTTTAACAACAGAATCAATAGCTTCTGGCATCAATAAAGGTAGTAACAGAAATGGTAGTCTTGGTTTGTCTGACATAATCACCCAAATTCAAGCTTCAAAAGATTCTGCGAAGTTGTCCTATCATAGCAATGTTGGTATTGAACCTTTATCATCAATATCATCATATTCAAGTAAAAGGGCCTCAGAAAGATTACAAGAAAGAAGTTCACTTGATGATAACAGTGATATTAGGGAGACTAGGCGATTTATGAAACCCAATCATGATAAGCAGTATTTGGATGCTCCTTATAGAGATGGAAACTTTAGGGAATCACATAATAGTTATGTGCCTAATTTCCAGAGACCACTATTAAGAAAGAACGTGACTGGACGCATGTCTGCTGGCAGGAGGAGGAGTTTTGATGATAATCAGTTATCTCTTGGCGAGATACCAAATTATGCAGATGGACCCTCATCTCTTCATGAAGCTTTGAGTGAAGGACTTAGTTCAGGTTCTGACTGGTCTGCTAGGGTTGCTGCCTTTAATTATCTTCATTCTTTGTTGCAGCAAGGGCCAAAGGGAGTTATAGAAGTTGTTCAGAATTTTGAGAAGGTAATGAAGTTGTTTTTCCAGCACTTGGATGATCCCCATCATAAAGTTGCACAGGCTGCTCTTTCAACACTATCTGACATTGTTCCAGCATGCCGAAAGCCTTTTGAGGGTTATGTGGAAAGAATATTACCCCATGTATTTTCTCGGTTAATTGACCCTAAAGAACTTGTCAGGCAGCCATGTTCAACAACTTTGGAAGTTGTGAGCAAAACTTACAGTATAGATTCTCTTTTACCGGCATTATTACGCTCACTAGATGAACAGAGGTCTCCAAAGGCTAAATTGGCTGTTATTGAATTTGCAATAAATTCCTTCAACAAACATGCTATGAATCCAGAAGGGGCTTCTAATATTGGCATCCTAAAATTATGGCTTGCTAAGTTGACCCCTTTGGTTCATGACAAAAATACAAAGCTTAAAGAAGCAGCTATTACATGCATTATATCAGTGTATTCTCACTTTGATTCCACTGCTGTTCTTAATTTCATTCTGGGTTTGTCAGTAGAAGAACAAAATTCTTTGAGACGAGCTTTAAAACAATATACCCCTCGCATTGAAGTAGACCTAATAAACTATCTGCAGAACAAGAAAGAAAGACAACGTTCTAAATCTTCCTATGATCCATCTGATGTTGTGGGAACATCCTCTGAAGATGGATATGTTGGTTACTCTAGGAAGGCTCATTACCTCGGGAGGTATTCTGCTGGATCCCTTGATGGTGATGGTGGCAGGAAGTGGAGTTCCCAGGATTCAACACTGGTGAAAGCCAGCCTTGGTCAAGCATCTTCTGGTGAAACTCAGGAACATCTGTATCAAAATTTTGAAACTGATCCTAATAGTGGCAGTCTTGCTTCAAAAACTAAAGATCTTGCTTATGCAGTCAATACAATGGGTCAAAACTTTGGCTCTCAAACTAGCCAACATGGACATGTGGACAGTAGCATAAACTTGGAGGGTCTTTCAACTCCACGTCTAGATTTAAATGGTTTGATGTCATCAGAGCATTTAAATGTTGTTGAAGGCTATGTAAATGACAAGGAGCATCCTTCTGAAGTGGAACTTAATCATCACTCAGCCGAAGATGTAAAGATTAACTCCATAACAGAAACAGGACCCAGCATTCCTCAAATTCTTCATATGGTGAGTAATGCAACTAGTATGTATAAGATGGTTTTTAAGTTTTTTGTTTGAAAAAAATAAGATTTGTTTGAAAGAGAAATGGAGTGTGGGAAAAAAATAGGAGGGTGAGAAAGCATTCTCCTAGAAGTAAAAATGCTCCAGAAAATTATAGGAATAACAAGGACCATTGGTGAAGAGATTATTGCAAAATTCTTGTTATATGACAATGTAAAAACATTGGGTGGCGTATTCATGTGGTCCTTTTGGTTCTAGCATATAGTTGTGTTTAGGTTTATTTAATAGAAGTATATCTTTAGAATTTATCACTTTGCACCTGCAAAATGTTGTTTTGTAGGTATGCAGTGGGGGTGATGGAAGCCCTATTTCAAGTAAACGGACTGCACTTCAACAATTAGTTGAAGCTTCTATAACAAATGATCATTCTATTTGGACCAAGGTATGCTTGATTTGATTAACTCTTTTCCTGTTCAGTCGTACTTGTTATATGGTTGTCAGTCGTACTTGTTTTCATGATTCAGGATCTGATAGAAAGTGAGCTAAACTGGGGAAACAGATAAATTGATCAAATAAAATACTAATGATGTGTTTTAACCCTAATGAGATACAATTACAATTCAGAACAGGTGCTGAACTAACCACTAGGTCAGTGTGATATTGCCAGGCTGACAATCTGTTACCAATTAGTTACTGTTGCAGTTATTGATATCAAGTAAAATGCTTAAGCTTACAGAAACAAAGGAAGCTTATTTTCTACTCAAATAACTCTTAAATACAGATTAAAAAAAATTTCAATAAATAAAAGAATCTGCTGCACAAACCCTTAACCCTGAATCTAAACTCTGTCTCTAGTGAGAAAATATTTTTGTTTGATCATGTGGGTAGTTTTGATCATGGTTAATGTGCAATCAATTGTTAATTATATAAATTCTGTTTGTGAGAGAATTATAATTTATCCAATTTTGTCAAATAACAATGAATCTTACTTGTTTGTGTAAACCTTTAAAAAGTGATTATAATTTATTGTTAACTGTAATGACAGTTTCATGGTGTACTTGCAGTACTTCAATCAGATTTTGACAGTTGTGCTTGAGGTGCTGGATGATTCAGATTCCTCTGTCAAAGAGCTTGCTCTTTCACTGATAGTTGAAATGCTTAAAAACCAGGTTCCCACTCCTTTTGTATGCATAAGCATTCGGCATCATTGGGACTTGAATTTAATAATATGAAAGATTTTTAAATTTAACTTATATTTATTTACAGAAAGGTGCCATGGAGAATTCTGTTGAGATTGTAATTGAGAAGCTGCTTCACGTTACAAAAGATATCATTCCTAAGGTAGCAAAAGTAGGCCAATTCGACTTTGTCTTTTCTACATTTGCTTTCTTTTCCTAGTCTAAGCTTCTTCCATCCGGTTTTTAGGTCTCAAATGAAGCAGAGCACTGCCTGACCATTGTTTTATCTCAGTATGATCCATTCAGATGTTTAAGTGTATGTGTTTCTTGATTTTTCTACGTTGTGGTCCCTTTACTCCTTGTAAATTGTTTGAGAAAAGGAATGGGGTTTTACTTATTTGACAAGCTAATGCTCAGAATTTTAACCATTTCAGGTCATTGTTCCTCTACTGGTTACTGAGGATGAGAAAACACTTGTCATTTGCATAAATTGCTTAACAAAGGTAAATGCCTCTTGAATAACCTTTTGTTCTATTTTGGAAAGAAATGCCAACGAATCAATGACATTTTATAATGGAAGAAGTAATTTAGTGTCCATATTATCCCCATGTGCTTCTGATGCCTTTAAAACATAACGCAAATGCTAACTAGTTTATTTATTAAAAATAATTAAGGTAGCAAAAATAGATATTTATTAAAAAAAATAGTTATTATGTTAAAAATAAAAATACCAAAGGCATTCAAGCATTTACAGTTTTAGGTAATTTGAAGAATTTAATGGGGGGACTATTTAATGCTCCTCAAGTAGTGTGTTCATGTCTCTTGTTTACGAGACCCTAAAACATATCTTGAGATTATCCTGCATCTCATGGCTACTCCAGCCGGTATGGTATTTCTTTTTCCCATTGGCTATTAATTCGTACGACTATATACTGTTTCATTTCTTCACCAAAAAAAGGAAATATAATAACTGACGTGAGTGTAAAATACGAAGTGTATTAATATCACTAGCTCTGTGGCACCTTGGAACAAATCTCTTTTCTTTCTCTCTTGAATGTCTTGTATTCTAGTTGTATCATGGTCCCCCTCAGCTTTAAGAAGATCTCCCACTGTCCTTGTGCTTCTCATATCATACCTGCACCATATCATACTGCTTAGTAGGAAGTGGTCCACTTTTATCATAAACTGAACATGCTTTATAAATATTTATCTTGTTTAACAATTAACATATGCTATTCCTTTCTTCAGCTTGTAGGGCGGCTTTCTCAGGAGGAACTGATGGCTCAGTTACCCTCGTTTCTGCCTGCACTTTTCGAAGCTTTTGGTAACCAGAGTGCAGATGTTCGTAAGGTACTAAGAGGTTTTTTATCTGGATTAATTTATGTTCCATAACTTCTTACATCTTATAAAGTTTCAGATGGTAAAAACCTTTTAAGTTATTAGTTGTCTGTTCTCGTAATTCTTTATAAGATTTAAATATTGAATTTTGGTGATTAACTAATAACACACTATAAAAGGGGTATTATTGGAATGTGCAGAAATTGTGGATTATTTGTTTGATTTAGTTAAAAGAAAATTTGACTGCTTCTATGATCTATAAAAACATTTTCTTTGAATGTAAGGATTGGGGTATTATTTACCACTAACAATTTTACTTTTGTCTGTCGTTTGTTCCTTTATATATCATTCAGTTTCGTAATTCTCATTTATGTAAATGGCGGATGATTACAGACCGTTGTTTTCTGCCTCGTGGATATTTATATCATGCTTGGGAAAGCATTCTTGCCATATTTGCAAGGGCTTAACAGCACACAGTTGAAGTTGGTCACCATTTATGCAAATCGAATCTCACAAGCCAGGACAGGCAAAACAATTGATGCGGTTCAAGATTAGCAGGATCATTGGGAAGAAAAATTGTGGATTATGGGTGTTGTCAATTCTTTGTTGTGTATTTTGTATATCTGCGTGCATGAATTTAGATGTGGGTCTTATTGTCTTTCCTTTCTTCTTGTTTCTCTTTAAATATATAGTTTTTTTTGTTCTTCCCTCTTTCCCTGCCAATGTTGGAATCCGGAGAGTGCTGATGGTGAAATACGCGCAAATTGTAATCTACATTGAGTAAACGTTATTGATTCTAGTAAATGGTTTTTCAAGAAAGTCTATTTGATTCAGTTTAATTTTGGATTTTGGTTAAATTTTTGCAAAGCTTGTTTTCACGCTGGTTTCTTATTACTACAAAAATGAGTTTTCTTTCCTTCACTCAACGAAACCAGAGCAATATGTGAGCTTAACACTTTGCATTGGCGTGGCTACTTATCATTAAACTTTTATATAAAAAGATCATGTTTACAAAATCATGAATCCTAAGAACTTAATTAAATTGTTTGGTTGATAAGAATACTGCTGAAAATATTTATATGAAATTTTTAAAATTAAAGAATGTGTTTTTTTATTAAAATTTTATTTTGTTATTATATTAAATGATTTAATAACTGTAATATTTTTTTCTTTTAAATTTGGAAATGTTATTTTTACCCATTTTAGATAAAATATTTCTGAATTTTTTAACAAAACTTTACTGATATTTAAAAAAAAAAAAAATATATATATATATATATATATATATATATATATATATATATATATATATGTATACTCTTCCAACTTTAAAACTTAAGAAAACTAAATTTTTCCTTTTACGAACATTTCGAGTTATTGGACTCTACGAAGAAAAACTTGTGAAGATTAAAGCTGGGCCTTGCAGTTCTGCTGGTTTAAACCATCCTTTTACATTTTACAGTGTTACTTGAAGTCATATAAAATATTTAACTACCACTATTACAACGTTTTCTTTAAGGGACTATTTCAACGTTTCTTCATGTAAGAAACTTCCAGAATTGAAGCGTGAATAATAGGCTTCCTTTTATCTTGTGTTGAATTTTATAATTTGTTTAGGGTATATTGAATCATGTTTCTATAAATTATAGGGATGTCAATTATCAAGTTTTAAATTATTATGTAAATATTGGTTTATGTTTTGAATTTATTATCCAAATTTTTTGAATTGTTTTTGGGTGTTTTAGCTAAATGGATTTAAGGTAAATGTGAGTTTTAGCTAAAATTATTTATGTTTAGTAATTTAATCACTCTGTTCATAGACCCGATATCAAATTTTAATCCAAATAAAATTTCTCTTTCTCTCTCTCTCTCTCTCTCTCTCTCTCTGTCTCTCTCTCTCTCTCTCTCTCTATATATATATATATATATATATATATATATATATATATATATATTAAATTTATTCAAAACTTTTTAAAGAGTAAACTTTATTTAGTTGAAAGTAGTTATTCTAGGATAAAGTTGTTGGTAGCTAAAAATAGCCTGAATAAGTATTTGGGCTGGGAGTATTGCTAGAAATACGTGGATGATTATGCCCACTGTTGTAACAGCACACAATGTGGTTTCCTAGGGGAAAGAAAAACAAATAGTGATCAAAACTACAGAATTAAAAGGAATCGAAATTACAATTTAATTTCTTTTATATACTAAAGATGCTTGTAATTGACACCTTATAAATCACTTTTAATCAAGTATCTAGGTAAGGAGTCCATCAAAGTTGGAGAAAGTAGTTCAAGTTTAAAAGTATAGAACTTCATTGAAAATTCTCAAATAATTTTGACACTAGAAAACTAAGTTCAATCATTCACCAGTAGAATAATTGTTTTAATCATTCTCCAAAGCGGGAAATTTCTAAATCTTCACATTCTAATCAAATTTATAAAAATGATATCAGAATTTTAATCTAATTTGTCAATATGTTATATATGATAATTCATTTAGATCTATGGTTGATTTCAGTTATGTTAATTAATTTAACTAACTAAAGTTTATATTATAAATACTTTATTTCAACGGTATTTGTATCATCAGTTGTGTATTGAATATATACTTTACTTATCTCTCAAAACATATTTTTCTCTCTTGATCTTGTTCTAGATCTTCTTTTCGTTAACAGTGATATCAAGAGTTTCAACATTCGAAAAGAAGAAAGATGGCGATGATAGGAATTATGTTGTATGATAATATGTCAGTGTTCGATAACAAGAATATGAAGGTTACGATAGTTTGTGCATGAAGATGAAGGCCATTTTTTGGTTCCAAGAAGTCTTGCATGTGGTCCTGAACAAATATGAGGGGTTACCCAAGAATCCCACTGAGGCACAACGTGCAATATTTCGAGAGGCGAAGAAACGTGATTGCAAAACTTTGTTTTATATACATCGGTGTGTCGATGAAAGCAACTTGAGAATATATCGTTGGCAAACTCAACGAAAGAAGCATGAGATACACTAGTGTAGAGTTACGTAGGTGCTGAGAGGCTGAATGTGGTACGACTTCAAACCTTGCATCATCAATGTGAGTTGTTGCATATGAGAATGCAAGAAATCATCAAAGAATACTTTGCAAGATTATTATCGATCACAAACTTGATAAAATTGTGAGGTGAAAGCTTGAAAGAATGAGCAATGGTGGATAAGGTGCTAAGAACTCTCGATGTTAAGTTCGACATAATTTTTGTTACTATCAAAGGGTCCGAGGATCTCGATTTGTTGAAGTTGGATGAACTACATGAGTTACTGGAGGCTTACGAATAATGATTATGTGAGAAGCAAAAGAAAGGTCTAGCATATAATAGACTTTGTTAATGAAACAAAACCAGAAAAATGAAACAACTTAATTATATATAATTACTAAAGTACATCAATATGTATCAAACTAAATTACAAAAAAATTTAAATATCTACTAAATACAACAAAATTATCCTAAATTACATCGGATTAACTATATTTACAAAGTTTATAAGTATCATACGTTTTGTACAAAAATTTGGCCAATTGTTCCCTTATTTATAAAATATCATGTTCGGACAATGGTGAATTTTGAAATACCTCAAACAATAATTGAAGTGTTATTAACATAAAATACTGATAAAAATAAATAAATTTAACTATTATTAAAATGAATTATCTCTATCTAAAAATCAGTAATACTTGCATAAATTATAACTCTCATCCAATACATGACATAATAGTCACATTCATACGAGTTTATTTGCTTATTACATTAAAATGAGAAATAAAACATAATGTTATTTTTAAAGTTTATATATAACAATAATTATGGCCTCATTAATTTTCTAACCTTAGGATAAGTGAAGTGCAATTTTTTTTATTTGCTTTTTCCACTTAAAATATTGCTTCCGAGAGATGACTCTAATTGAAATAAAGACAAACATTAGTTAATATATATTTATACTTTTAAAACTTAACAAACAAAAATAAAGTTACCGTTGTAATACACTTTTGATTTCTTGGTTGGATTTTTTATGCAACGAACAGAACCACACCACTGTTTAATCTCTTGGGATAATTACAATCAACTGCTAATGAGACCAACATTGTATGACAAACAAATTAGTTATATAAGAAAAATTAACAATTAAAATAACAAATTAAAACACTAACCCGTCAAGTATAGATATCTTTTAGAGCCACTCATTCATATTTGCATATACGGTTGAATTTGGACTTTCGTGTTACCAAAATTTTTAATGGATTGAGGCTCAATAAATCCATACACTTCAGATTTTTTTGCTCCGAATTTAATTTTTCAATGTACCTAACAATGAATTATAAGTTAAATATCATATATATTATAATGTTACACACAAAATATAACTATGACTTACATGGCTCATAGTTGTACTATAGAAATTTCCAACATGTAGTTTCCCCAATCATCTCTAATCTAAAAACCCTTTTGTCCCACTGTATTTGAGTTAATTTTTTCCTTAATCGTGGTAATATGGTAAAAAACATAGATATTGGATCATCGTCAGCTTCACATCCTCATTAATAACAAGTTATCTCAATACCTGTTTACCACGATGGATAAATCCTAAATAACATAAGACAAATAGTCAAACATTTATTAAATTACAAAGAATTATAAGATTAAAAAAAAAAAAAAAGAGAAGGAACACTACATATATTACTTTTTCCTGTGCTAAAAGTAACATTACCAAACATCTTGACTAAGCCAAAAATATGTCACTTGTCTGCCCTACTAGCTTAACCTTTGTATTCAGCAAAGACAATTGAGCAACAACATCAACAACTTCATTGATCACTACCTGCATCTAGTCTGCTTGTATTGGGACACCATAAATGGTTGAGTCACCCTTAAAAACTTGACCAAGTGCCATTAGACGTGGGAGGTCATCTTCAAAATATAACTCACACTAGTTATGTGCATTAGTGTGAGTATATTCCCTAGGGGAACTTGTAACAACAACACAATTCTCTTTATTACTGTCTAGAACAATATAATCTTGAACTGTATAAGGTGTTTCTTGAGTCTGTTGTTGGGAATGAGTAAGAGATTCAAGTTTCTCATCAAACTCTTGTTATAAGGACTAGCGTGTTTGATTAAATTTTTCTTCAAACTGCATCTCCATTTTCTGTAAGGTCTTCTGACTGTAAGATTTAACGTGGGTCTTCGTGATGGTGGACCAAAGTAATCACGAAGGTCTCAAGATCCACCAGCACCACGCACACGTCTTGGGTGCTCTGATTTTCCTATAGTAGTTGTCAATATGTCTTCTCGACCATGCGGTAAGTCACACTAAATTATGTAGGAAGCAGGTGTAATTAACATGTTATATATTTTTTGACTTACAATTTTCTCAGTAATGACTCATGTAGACTTAAAACTCATTTGTCCATCAGGTATTGTGCGAGTTGTCTTCCATATCTTATAGTAGGGGGTGGAGACACAAGGTCAACATACTCAAATCCTGTGACTTTGCTATGACTTTCATGAGTCGTTGCTCCAACAATGCATACCCGCCCCACAATAATAGATGGAGTGCATCATTCAATTTTTTACATTCCTGGGCAGCTACTCTTTTATCCTACAATGCAAATAAGAAAATTAGAGTAATACACTAAGTGTAATTAATGTAAGAATAACTAATAACTAATTTATCAAGAGGGGTCCAATCGACTGACACAAAACTGCAACAAATCATCCTCACTAATATGATACTTTAGGCAAAAAGATTAATCTTGATACTTTCCAAATACATACTCTCGTGTCAAGAAAGTCTTAAAGACCCTCCATCTAGTGACAATGGATGATAAAATCTTCTTTCTGACCTTAATGTTAGGAATGTCAAAATTTTGCTGTCAAATTACAAATAAATATTAAATTCAATTATTAATATATAGAGTGTTCAATAAAAGTAGAAATACCTGAATATTTTGCCACATGAGGTTCTTCTCGGTCTCTTCAACATGATCTCATGATGGAATCATAATAGAAACATGGTGTCTAGCTAGGAGTCTCAAATAATTCTTAAACTTTGCGAGCATTCGGGTTTGATGCCTTACCAGAATGTGAATCAACGTTAACTTGTGTCACCTCCTTAACATGGTTTATTATCAACCTTTTCAATCTGGTAACAGATCTATCTCTACTTCTACCACTAGCGGACATCGAATCCAACATAATCCTGAAAAAAAGAACAATGATTAATAAATTTTAACACAATGAATGCATATTCATATTTAAAAAATATATATATATATATATATATATATATATAAACAATAAAAAATGTGGGACTCAAACAAATAAAATGTAGAAATATAACAATGTAATGTTTAAATAATAGGTGTACTCAAACAAACAAACGAACATTAAATAAACAATAACAATTCAATCTTAATAACAATAAAGTGGAGACATTCGTGCAATATCACGATTCGAGATCCTAAAAATAATTACGGATTCAATTTAAACATAAAAATTAAATATATAGATTACTAATCTCAAAGATATTCAAGACGTTCTAAAACTCGAATCAAATGGGAAACACTACTAGAAAACTAGTTTTTTTCTACCAATTTTCTTGTAAAAAATTGTTTACATTTACAGAAAACTTATTTCTTGCAATTTTTATAAAAACTTTGCAAAAATATTCCCATGAAAAATAAGAATTTTTAGTAGTGAAAGAAATGTCAATCACCACAAATGGGATACAATGCAGGTGTTGTCATCGCTCACCATGGTTGAAAAATACTTTGGAGTTGCTATAGTGGTCGTTGTCGTTATCGACTCAAAAACCTTAGCGCGCGTGAAGAAGAAAAAATCCTGGATGATATAAAACACAGAATTTACATCGAACCTTAAAAGAATTGACATAAAAACTACTTTTTACATCAGGTGAGATCCTAACTAACGTAAAAAGTAATTTTTAGGTCAGTCCCTTTGAGGTCCGACATAAATTCACCTCCCCCTCCCTTTATTCTGAAAAATGTCACTGAATTTTTTTAAGTTTATTATTTTATAATCTATTTTAAGTTTATTATTTTATAATCTAACAAAAAAAAGGTGGCATAAAAAACATATTTTACACTAATAAAAAATAAGTTGTTGGTAACTAAAAAAAATAAAACATAGAATCGAAGACCAATGCATCAAAATTATATTGAACGAGAAGATAAAAAGCAAAAAGGAGCTAGATGACATCAAAAGCCTTAAAATAATATAAGGTTGGAAGAATTAAAGAAAAACTTGAATGCAAAATCGATTATTAAATTAGAGGATTATGTTAGATGATAATTCGGTAATTAAATGTAATTATTGGTTTCAATTAGAGGTTACAATTTTTGTTATAAATACCACATCTTTACAATATTTATATAATTATTAAATTTACAATTTATTTTTCATGTTTTTCTCTCTATTCTTGTCTTAGATCTCTTTCTGCTATATATGAAAGTACATGATTAAGAATTTAAGTGAATATATATATATAATTTATGACAATGAGAATTAATACGTAAATTGATTAAGAGAGTAATCATCGACACATAATTGTAAAGTTCATAAAATTGTTATTCTGTGATCAATAAGTGACTCAGCCTTAACTAGAATGTGGGAGGTATAACATTTCAGGTGTAAGAAAAACATAAATAAGAAAGGAAGGAAAATATATAAAATGGAAACAAAGTAATTTAGAAGAGATATATAATAAGTACAGAAGATGAAATAAGAATCTAATTCTATTTATAAGGAGGAGAAACTAGGTAGAATAGCAGTTGTAGAGACCACTTAACGTGTTATTCTGTACCTCCTGGTAAACAAAATTGTGTGGATATGTGTGCTTACCTCTTTTGATTCTCTTCCTTGCATTGTAAGGTACTCACACTCACACGGTGCCACCACGGCTCAATTACAATCAACTTATAACTTTGAAGTTTGGCATACTTGCTCGTTTTTCATGCCAATGAAACCAAAGGTAAATAAATACCCAAAGGACCCCAAAAATATACTTCAAAATATGATTGTCTTCTTGTCTAGTAAAAAATGGCAAAAAGGTGCCCTACGAATTTATTCAAGATAGGAATCATCTCCATTTTTAGAAAAACATCACTCTCTCTAAGATTTTTAGATTTTAAACCAAATCCAAACACACTTCTACAAATTCAATGTTGATGCTAACACACATATCCAATTTGGCATTCATCATTATTTTCCATTTCCTTTCAATCTTATATCACACCTTGCTCTCACCTATCCTATATCTATATCCACTTGAAAGGATACATATGTCTTTCTATATATTCATTTATCTCTATATATACCACCCCATTTAGCTTCCTACACTTCATCCATTTTCATCATTCTTCTCCTCCCACTCATAACTTAAGTCTCAGAATTTTGGAGAAAGATCGTTCTCATTATTCAGGTTAGTGCTAATATATGTTTATATATATAGATAATATATCCTTGTTAAAACAAACTCACTGTGTTTTTCTAAACTAGTGTTGAGGAGACTTAAAAAGGATACGGATTAGGAAAACAAAAAGTGAATGGCACGTAGAAACTTTGGCACCCAAGTAACAGCACTTGTTGTAGATGACAATGCACTGAACCAAAAGATTCACCAAAGGCTGCTGGAGAGTGTTGGAGTGAGAAATGAGGTGGTGACAAATGGGAAAGAAGCAGTGGACATTCATTGCCATGGAAAAAGATTTGACCTCATTCTCATGGACATGGACATGCCTATCATGAATGGCATTCAGGTACTTAATTCATTACGTTACATCGCATGCAAGTTTACCCTTCATTTTTTGTCTTCAAAGCCAAACATAAAATCGCATTTCTTCTAGATTTGGATTACTATATATTGTTTCTGTGCAGGCAACAAAGGAACTTCGTTCAATGGGCATTGGGAGCATGATTGTTGGTGTGTCATCACGTTGTCCCGAAACAGAAATACGAAAGTTTATGGAATCAGGGTTGAATGACTACCATGAGAAACCCTTGAACACTGCTAAGCTTAACTCAATTCTTCATAAGATGAACCCTAATTTTACCAGTAATAATAAGTGAAACTCTAACTGGGTAATGTATGAATCAATAAACAGTTTATTTGCAAATTGCCATGGATTTTTTTTCTCTTTTGGTTATCCCGTTTTAGTTTCTTTTACTGTGATGAAGTATGTGACTACGTGATCACTGTTAATGTAACACTAAATAAGGAAAAGAGTTGAGAAACAACTCTTGTTCAATCCATCATCAATGAGGTGCAGTTGGAAGAAGATTATTGGTTTTTAATGTATTTTCATTTATCTTTTTTTTAATGTATTTTGATTATTGCTACTTGATTAGGTCAAGTCTTTCCCACATCATGTTGCTTTTGTAATAGAAGATGCATGTTACTACACACTTGCGCTCATGTGTCAATTTTGTTTTTCACCCAAAAGAAAATTATTAAAATAATATGTAGGATTATTCATCAAATTAAAATTATTAGTTAAGTTTTACTCATTTGTTATGGTAAAAAGTCTATAAGAAGATTTTCAGATAAAGCATTTAATCTATGTTGTTTCCAACTTTTAATTATAGATGATATATATGTCTTGTTCACCTACTTCATTTATCTTTATGATCATGATTTCACAGTTTCCATTTTCAGGGAATCTTTCTCTCACTCTTCAATCATATAGTATGTCTTTTATAATTGTATGTCTTAAAACTAAAGGAAAGAATATTATAATATAAATACTTAAGTTAGAATTATTACTGATTTTTTTTTCAACTATTTAACATCCATCGTTTATCTTTCTCTCCCTCTCTCATTGCTTTGAATGAAGAGTGAGTTATTCAATTTTCATGACAAGAAACACAAGCAAATGTCCTAAGTTTTAGTAAGTGTTTGATCAAACACTTTTAGGTTAATTAGTTCTTCTAGGTTTTCCCTCTCTTTGAAAGGGAAATATTTGATCAAAGACATGCTTTAAAATGATATTAAAATTAATAAGTAAATACAACCTTTAAAATCTAGCCACATTGACATCTAGATATTAATATTGATTACTAAGTGCATAAGAGAACTCACTTAAAAATTAGTTACTAAAAAAGGAAAACTAAATATTTAAACACTCCATTAAAAATCTCAGAATATTTATGTGGGGCTTAGACTACCTTAATATTCAGTCCATTAAGTTGACATACCATTTTGAAAAGGAAGTTGTTAGGGTACCTAAAGAAATTTAAGGGTAGAGTGATCTTGAAAAGTACCTAAAGAAATATACTTATAAAGAGCATCTTCAAAGTACTTGTACAGTAAACGAAAAATTCTAGATGATTGGAAAGAATTTTTGTAAGTACCACATGAAACATTCACTTTCTCTTGTTAGCAACCGTTCCTTTTTCTCAAAGTGGCCTACATTTATTGTAAAGTAACAGTTTCAACACTGCACAGTTTAGAGTGTCAATTATTTTTGTCAATATTAATTTTTTAAACCACCCTTTCCTTTTCAAAAATTTTATGTGATATTTTTAAGTCTTAAAAAGTCATTTTTGTATTATATTTTTATGTATTTTTGTTTTTAAAAAATGATTTTATTTAATTAAAACATAGTATGTATTTATTTATCATCTTGACACTGAATTACCTGAATTTGAAATTAAGATGAATGATCAAATATAAAAGAATATGAGGTGCATTGTGGGTCAAGAAAAAAACTTCTTTTAAGAGCATTTTTATATAGAATTTTTAATAAAAATTCTTTAACAATAAAATTAAATATTTTATTATAAATTTCATATTTTAGATATTTAAAATTTGGTCAGAGTTATTTATTTAAACAATTTTCTTTTAATTTTAAGTAATTTTTTTTATTTTTAAATAATAAAATTTATAGTAAAATATTCATTTTTAGTTTTAAACAACTCTTGATAGCAATTTTAATATTTAAAGTTGTTATTAGTGAGTTGAAATTAATGTATTATTTAAAGTAAATAAATTCATTACACAGAAGGCAAGGGGACCAAAATAACCATATGCAAAATCTCTTATAATTAATCACTATTATTTATAAAGGTCATCATAGACACCAGGCAGCTAGACCAAACATTATATGCAAACATGCATGTTACTGTAGCAATGTGCTGGAACATTTTCTACATGCATGCAGAGAATAAAACACAAACAAAAGACCTTGCCGGGGAGAAACTAGCAAGAAAGAACCTTCCTCTTACTCATAAATTCTGTCTAGTTGAAATTCAATCCAGCAAGACTTGCCATCAAGAGAATGCTAATATTTTTGGAATGAACTTCTAGAGAAGCTTTCAAATTATCGAATTTGATGCCTACGTGCTTCATCAATCCTTTGAGAGAATTTTTCTACAATTCTCATGGAATATACTCTTATGTTGTCAACATCAAAAACAAGCCATCATGTTTTATCCTCTCTTGACACGAATAATCGAGTTTAGCATAACTAATTGAATTCTCATTTGTTATTATTATTTTTCTCTACTTTAATGACTATTTCTGCCCAAGATCCCAATTCTGAAACCTCATTCTTGTCCTCCCAAATTGTGAACAGGCTATGGGAAAAGAATCTTTCAAAGGGGTGCTTTTGAACCAAACATATCTTGGAAAAGACAGGATTTTGTTTCCACTTCTTTCTTTTTTTCTTTTTTTTTCTTTTTTCCTATTTTCATATTTTGCTCCAAAATCCCAAACTGAATTTTGCATATATAGGAGATTTAGTCTCCCATACTTAAATTCTAGAATCCTTGTATCTCTTTTAATTGCCTCCATCTTCATTTTGCTAATTAAAGGTTCAAGTTAAATAATTTAAGATTTTCACTGTTAGAACGAACTCATTTACCCTTTGCATGTTCCACTTAAACCGAAGGAGATTTTCTTTTATCTTCACTCCTTTCATCATTCTACTGAATTGAATTCCATTGAATGAAACTGAAATTAAGGAAGGCCACCCATTATTTGTTGTTTAGGAAAGATGAAACTGGTTTTAATAAATCATTGAATTGAAAATGTTGATTTGTGAAAGTTTATTTGAGTTTAGCAATGGATTAAAAAATATGATGATATTAGGGTTTGTGGTCCAGGGAACGTCCACTTTGTCTGTCCTATATGAAATTTTGTATGATATGCAAGTTGAAGGTGAAAGATTTTTGCCCCATCTTTCCTAACTTTACACCCTTTTTAGCTTTTCTATATTTATTGCCCTATGAATTAAACAACCCACTCAACCTGAATCTTTTCAGTTGCATTTTCATTTACCAGAACTCATGGATTGTCTCAAAATACACAAAATCTAATCCAAGATTTCTGTTGTCCTAAATTGTCCCATCATGCAGTCAATATACTTGTCATCATTACACGTTATAAGATTATAAATATATTCATTTATTTTTATTTAATTAAACATCATTTCTATTCAAATAATTTTATATTATTTTTACTCTAAGTTTTGAAATAAACATATATATGTTATTTAAACACGTCAAATCTTACGATGGTGCTCTTTTACTTAATTTATTTATACAACTTTCAATACATGTACACAAATATTATAATAAGAATAAAATTAATTTGAATGGTTTTTATATTTTAAATTCTTTATAGATACGTGTGTTTTATTTATTTAGTAATTGAAACATTTTGCCTGTGTTTTAGTAAAATTAAAATTTGTGTACAGAACAATTATTTTGACTCGATTATGAATAAATAAAAACGTCAAATGAAATTTATTTAAATAAAATATTTATTTGCTAAATTAAAATAATATATGAAACTAAAACGAATCGGGACTATGAACGTGGTAAATAACTTGTAACGATTACCTCATATTTGTTTTATTTTAAAAAACCTGTAATAAAAGTACTTTATATAGTCTAATTTGAATTGAATATTCTATAATAATAGAATCAGAAAATTAATCTTAAAAGATTGATATATACAATTTTTTTTAAGGTTATGATACATTTTTTAAATCAAATTTAAAAGAGATTATTTTTCTTTTAAACCATGATCCAGTCTCTCTATTCCGCTCTTGATGACTAATTAAATATTAAAAGTTTATTATTAATAATATTAAAAGGGTTAAGTTTGGTGAAAGAATTTGCGCGTGACTGAGAGCAATGATAGAACACCACCACGTTAGCTTTAATATTCTTTCCCTCAATTATGCATCACGTTTTTCATAATCAAAATGTTTGTATTGCTAAAATTGGTATCAGTGTTAAAAACTTAAGTCATGAATTTAACACATTCCAAGAAATAAAAAACTTTTACATTTATGAACAAAATCCGAAAAGAAAATAATTTTTTTAAACTATTCAAATTTAATAATATAACCTTTCGTTTTCTTCTTTCGTCTAAAAGACGAGATTCGATTGAAAGCTAAATATCAATTAAAGGTGCAAGCTCTTTCTATGCATATTTTGGTGACATCAGAGACAAGGAAATCAAGGGGACACAGAATATACAGAGTTGTTTTTTATTACTTATTTTGTTTTGTTCAAAAAGAAATTCACTTTCTCCAAATATTATATAAACTATATAAGAATAAATGGATACTTTCTTTCTACCTCCTTCAAGACACGTAAAAATTTACATAAAACCTAAAAAGTCAAAGTTCGTACAAAAAATAGAAAACGTATTTCTTCTTTCTCCAAATAATCTTCTTTAGCATCATAAAATAGAGAGTACGGTAATTAGTTTTCTATAAACCATTTTAGATTCTGTATTTATCAAGTTTTAAACATAAAATAATCCATATATATGTCATATAGAGAAGAAAAGCTAGTTGAATAAATTATCTAACTTGTAAGAGATATACATAAATACGAAAAATCAACAAAAATGGATCACAACCAAAATTAAAAATATCTAATATTTAGGTTTATCATTAAGCTGAAAATTGATTAAAGATAAGTGTGTTTTTAATAGAAAAGTGGAAGGAAGGGGTGCATTTGTGTTGTTTTTGCATTATTGTACGATATAGATAGAATTGAATCGATGGTCTAGGGAGAGAAAAAAAAAGTTAAAAAAGGTTTAGGCTTAGTTGTTA